ATATACATATATATATTATGTGTCTTATGAGGTAGTAATGCTGCTTGTAAAGGCAATGTGAGTCACGAGTGACAGTGATGCCACGTATGTAAACTCGCCTAAAAAAGTCAAGGAACAACTTGTGTTTTTACCTGTCAAGTTTAAACTTCAATATCTCACAAACCCGTTGAGATCAGTCAACCAAACTTGGCACTCGCACAGACGACTAGATACACTTTGCCTGTACAGCAAATTTTCCCGCCCCTCCTTCACAGTGACGGCACAGGGCATTCTGAAACACAGCCGAAAAGCATGAAAAATGGGCTAAATTTCTCTACTTCAGCATCATTGGCATAGGGACTGTTGGCTAAAACTAACCTTGGTTCGTGCTAAACAGCATAGCTCTGAATATTGCTGACTTACAACCCTTTATAAGCCAGCGTTTTTCAGCCATGATTCATTACAACATGATGGTCCAACGACGCTCGCTGCCTGACGTCGACAGAGGACGAGCTCCTACCTGGCTCCGAGATGACTTCACGTTCCCAGTTGTTGCACATCTGTCATATATAGGCAGCAAGAACGATAGCAAGCGGCCGGAAGGGTCCAGGACAGGCCTCGACCAGGGCCGCCCCGTTGACTTACGACAGCATCGACCCGTTCATCGTCAGACAGGCCGTGACGTCACAAACCACCACTGCAAACGGCATCAGGGACCAACTTCGGGTGACAGCCAATGTCAATTAGAGGGAGGAGACGGTGAGGAACCGTATCGTTAGAGCCAGGTTCGCTTCTCGTGTCCTTGCCAGGCGCCCAAGGCACACGCCGCCCCACAAAGCAGCTGGCCGGGCGTGGTCTGCTCGCCATTAACAGTGGAGACATTGTCAATGGGACCAGGTAGTCTTCTTGGACGAACACAGTCACTCACTCACTCACTCAATACGCACATCTGCTCGCCATTAACAGTGGAGACATTGTCAATGGGACCAGGTAGTCTTCTTGGACGAACACAGATTCAACCTGCTACATCCAGACAGGCCATCCCACGTCTGGAGGCGCCGAAGAGCGCTGTTCCCCCCTGAGTGCATCCAGCAGGTGGCGCCCTACGGTCGAGGATCCGTTCTGGTGTGGGGAGGCTCCTCAGCTCACCACAAGACCCCCTGTACCATACACAATGTAATTTGACCGCCGCAAGGTACAGGGAGGAAATCCTGCGTCCCCTTGATGTTCCTCTCCAGCGGCAGATTGGACCCCAGGCTGTACTGCAGGACGACAACGCCTCGCCACATCGCGCACGCATCATGGGAGACTTCCTGCAGCAGCGAGGACTGACCAGTCTGTAGCCCGGATTAGAACCCAATAGAGAACATTTGGGATTCCATTGACCGGTGGATAAGGTACAACCACCTTCATGCACAAAACCTTCAACAACTCTAGGGTTGCCTAGTCCAGGAGTGGCAGAACCTACCACAACAAGGTCTCCTTGGGCATGTCCTGCCCATGCATCAACGCTGTACCGAGTGTTTGGTCAAACGGAGGGGCTACACCCACTATTGATAATGTTCATGAAGAACTATGGCAGTTCAGACTTTTGAAATCCTACCAGAGTGACTTAAATTAATTTTACATGAACTTCTCGTTGTTGCTGAAATCTGATATTGTGCAGACTTAATCTAGACAGTCGAAAGCATTTTTTTTTGTTGAAAAAATGAATAAATTTGGTTAAATTGTTTTTCAGTTATCCTTCTTTGAATTTTTTTTCCATAACTTTTTTTTGTGCGAGTTTAGTTGAGAGGTGTCATTTAAGTGACAGTAATGTCACGTGTGTATTTGAGATGTCTCACTTGTGACAGTAATTTCCCCTGTGTGGTTGAGATGTCTCACTTGTGACAGTAATTTCCCCTGTGTGGTTGAGATGTCTCACTTGTGACAGTAATTTCCCCTGTGTGGTTGAGACGTGACTCGTGTAAGTGACAGTAATGCTTCCGATGTATTTGAACTGTTTTACATGTGAAAATTATGTCACGTACGTGTGCATATTAGATGTGTCAGATGTGACAGTGATGTTACGTATGCCGTTGAGATGTGTCATATGTGATGTGACAGCAATGACATGTGTGTAGTAATTGAGATGTTTCATGTTGCATGAGTACGAGCAACGTGCCTCGGGCACTAGTAATGTACAACTTATGTAACATGTGTGCCTCTTGAGATGATAATGAGACGATAGTGTATGCCAGATCCTTCTTTCCTATCAAACATCTATCGTCTTTATCTTCCCTTCTTCTTTTTTTATGTTTGTTACTCTCTTGTAACACCTCTAATCTTCTGG